AAGCAGCAGCACACCAAGGAAAACTCAGGAAGGTACCGGGCGGCCTCAACATTCCGGAAGCAAAAAGGCCATGGGCAGCCGGTACTGGGTCCAAGTCAAGCCAGGGGAAGCAGAGGCTAGGACGAGTCAAGGCTCAGTCCAAGTCAATATAGGGACTGGCCAGCCTCATTGCGGACAGATTGCTCATTCGCAAGAAGTGTGGAATTGCTGCTGGGTGCTTGTGCGCTATCTGCGAGTAGCATGCGCTTGAGCCCTGGCTGGGCAGCGCTGCGCTGAGGAAGGAAGGCGGCCATAGTCGCACAGATAGTAATAGGAGGTAGAGCTGAGTAGCGGCGGACATATCCAGAGTCAAGATCTTCATGCTGATGTGTGTGTGTGTGTGTGTGTGAGAGAGAGAGAGAGAGAGAGGAGGTCACCTACCTAGTTGAGGATGCTGGATTTGGGTTGCTGAACTCTGTGCTGTTGAGCGGTTGGTGGCTGGAACTCAGAAACTGTTTAATATGATAAGTCGATGGAATTTCTAAGCTGCGCTAATCTGGACTTTGCATCTCTGCTCTCCAGTGTGGATTTCGTGTGATCTCTCAATGTGTGTGTGTGCTCAAGGTGACGACCAGTGTGGCTCAATGCACGTATCCCCTTTTGAGGAATGCTGGTTTTACAAGGAGTGACAGAATCTGCATGATGGTTTGGCAGGGAGTAGCGCAAAGGGGGAAGAATAATCTCATTGGTTTTGGAGATGTGAGTAGGTTTTGTCTTTTTCTGATTGCTGCAGGCCTTTTCCAACCATGTCGCCTGCCTGCAAGAGATAAGCACCTTGCAACCTCCCTCAACATTTGCCCCCTTCCTAAATGTCCAAAGCATTTTGCGACCCCTTTTGACACTGTACCCTGTGCATTTGTGTGTAAAGTCCCTTCAGCACTCCCTTCAAACCCCATCCTTCTGCAAGGTATGTGGACTGCCAGGGCCGCATTTACTGCTTAACTTCCCTTCCCTGCGCTTCTTCCCCTCCCCCCCCCCCCCCCCCCCCCCCCCCCGGGTGAGACATTATGGGAGTTCCATTGATGGTTCCACTTTCTCCCTCCCTGTTTGCAAGGCTGTTGTTTGAACCCCTTGGGCAATCTCTCTCGTCTCCCTCACAGCTCTCCTCCAGGACCCACTCCATTTCTCCGCGGATTCATGCAAAGCATCGTTGGCCCTCCTCTAGAATACCTCCCTCTGCTGACAATTTCATGTGATGCATCTTGGGACCCTTGACGCTCCTCATCATGAGACTGCTCAATCACAAGTCATATCTCATGCCTTGATTACCCCCTCTCCCCGCCGTTCGCTGCCCTTTCCCAACCACCCATGCAAGTGAGACATTTTGTGGGTCCATTGGCACTCTTCCTACCCCTGTTTGGGTTTAGAATATTGTGAAATTATGATACTTCGCCCTGTCCTGGGTGTTGGATGTGAAGCATCTTGTGACTGCAGTCAAGGCTCCACCCCCCCATAGACTGCATCATGTGACCCTCATGGACTCCTTAATACTTCGCCTCGTCCTGGGTGTTGGATGTGAAGCATCTTGTGACTGCAGTCTAGACTCCACCCCCCCATCGACTGCGTCATGTGACCCTCATGGACTGCGGTGCTTTTTACGCCTTCACTTGTAGACGATCCTGCAAACCTTACTGCTCTGGTCTTCCTCCCTCTTGTAGTTGCCCGTGACACGCCTGTTTGCTAGCCAACCTGGCCTTCTCCTTCTCCAACTGTGCGCTGTGCACGTCTCTGCCATGGGCTATTTATTGCCTCCAATTGCTCACTAACTGTATCTCTATTCTGCGCCTGCTCACTGTTAAATCTTGTCCATGTATGGGATCAATCCCTGGAAGGAATGCTGCCAAACGATGCTCAACTTGGGGTAGTTGGTTGTGTGGCACTGACAAAACTCTGATGTGCTGCTGACATTGTGTGCTGATGTGAAATGCCAATGATGGCATGTTCCATGATGAGCCTCGGTCAGAACACGGTGTTGGAGACCGTAACTGCTTGATACCAGCTGTATGGTGTCACTGGATTCAATCAACATTCGTGTTGGACTCACTTGTAAACTCACTTGTATGCTCGATTGGTCATCACGCAGATCATTTTCCACTCACCTGTGGCGCAAATCTTGATGAAAGCATACAAAATCATGTTGGAGACAAACAGAGGGCAAATGATGCAGCGTTCTTGGAGTTTGGAAGAGCTGTGACTGCACCTATTTCTGCCCATCAACTGTTAATGTGCTAAACGCTTTCCCTCTAGCCCAAAAAAATTGCTCTCGCCAAAAAGTGAGTCCGTAATGAGCTACCTCTCATTTGTTAAAACAGGAACCAGGGCCCATACTATTGCCTACGATTACCATTATAGACTGAACCTATTCACCCATCAAAATGTCTGGCTGGGTTCAAAATATTGGGGCAGAACAGTCACAAGCACCAAAATCTTGGGCCAGGCGGGCGTGTCAGGCTTGGAGATGGTGTGAAGTCATCTGGACTGATCTTGGAACACTTCCCAGAGGATGGCAACGGATTACTCTATAAACAATCCGGTGCCATCTCTGAGCAAACAGTGAAGAATACCCAATTGAGTGTGACTGGAGGTTGCCCAGAGACGTTAGATCCTCAATCCAGTGAAACCCAGAAGATGCTGGGTTTTTGAAGGCGTCTTGCCACACTGGGATCTGTTTTCGTGTGTCTCACCATCTAATAACTCTGGTTAGTTCTGAAGTCCAAGTTGAAGCAAGTGTGAATCTGATGACCGCGAGGACGGAGAGAAATCAAAACAAGAAAACTTGCTGTTTGCTGTGCTCTTTTCACATCCACATGTCGGCCATCAAACAGGACACCTTGTCCGTTGATGGCTTGCTGTCCTCTATGGAAAAGGTTAACTTTTCAGCCTTCAATACGCAAGAAGGCTAAGTTACCAAGCTGGATGACCTGTAGGAACTGGGTGTTTGGATGTCCAATTCCGGACGTCAATGCTGACGATCCAGGCACTAAGGTTCACCCAAATCAGCTATTTTTTGTTTGAATGCATGGTCAGGCCTCCTTGGGGCCACTGGGATGAGTGCAGGTGGGCGTGTGCTTGTGCTGCAGTAAGGATTACCAGGGAACGAAGCTTTTAGATTAAGCGCAGGTCCTGCTGGTGCTTTTAGATTAAGTGCAGGTCCTGCTGGTGCTTTTAGATTAAGTGCAGGCCCCACCGGTGCTTTTAGATTAAGTGCAGAAACAAATTCGCTATTTTTTGTTTGAATGCAGGGTTAGGCCTCTTTGGGGCCACTCGGATGAGTGCAGCTGTGCAGTGTAAGAATTAGCAGGGAACATAGCTTTTAGATTAAGTGCAGGCCCCACTGGTGGGGCCTGCCCCTAACACAGGGTCTCATGCGATGTAACCGTCTTGCACACTGATCTTGTGATATGGGGTCACCTGGCTCTGGCAGCTTGGCTGCAAATGCGTGGGCCAAATGGCTTGGTAGCTCACTCTGGCAGAAAATCTGGTTTGCGTGTTCATGAGCCTGCCTGACAGGAGGGACGTATTGTTTGTTTGGGTAGGGCTCACACTTGTAGTTTCCTGGAATGTATCCAACTGCAGTTACAGCTAGACTCAGTTGAGAAACTCAGAAAATATCGGGGCTCGGGGAAGGCCCGGTAGAAAGCGATGGGGGAGGACACAGTGGGCCCAACGAAAAAGGCGAGGCCCGGTAGAGAGTGATGGGGGAGGATGCAGTGGGCCCAACGAAAAAGGCGAATGGACTGCATGTTATACTGGTGATCCACCAGGGCGGACAGTACGCCCTGTCCTGCTTGCACACAGAAAACTACGAGTAGAAGAAAACAACAACAAAGACAAAAAAAAAAAGAAAATGAGGAAGAAAACTGGAAACAGATGCTTTGTTGTCCATTCGGATGGCCCTGGCCACATTCCTGCTCCAGATTCAGAGGAACTCGTAGTTCCCGTCTTTGCCCTGCCAGGAAGGCAGGGCGTTTTTGTACTCTTCCAATCTGGTGGGCGGCCGTTTCTTTTCAATTGTCACTCGCACGTAGCACCTAGCACACTGACAGCTGGACTTCACTGCGCATATCTATCCGTGATAGAGGGCTGTATGCATCGAGGGGAGATGGATGTGGGGGCAAGCAGTCCCCGAACCCGCCACTGGCGCCTGTTATCACGGGCTATAACCAAAACGAGTGCAGACAGAACGCGCCCAGAAGAGTGACAGGCGGCTGTTTTCATGGGTACCAGCCTTTCGAGAATCACGAGGGGGATTTTTCTTCGTTGTAGTTGTATATGAATATGCCCCCGTCCTAGGTTAGATATGTTTGTTTCTTTGAGAGTGTACTCAAACTAGCACTTTTGGAAGCCAAAATCTATATAGCTGAAATCTGTCTAGCTGCACGGGCGACCCCACGTGGATGTATCCGACAACAATTGCATCCGCCCTGAGAAGAAAGCATCCTGTTTTTTTTTTCTTTCTCTGTTTCCTTTTGTCGTTTTCGTATTTTGTGACAGACGCCCCAAGTCCCAGTTTCTTGCCGGATACAGGGGCTGGCTTTGCACAGAGTTTGCCTGGAGTAGCACATGAGTGAAAATGATGCCCTCCTTTTCGTACCATTGCTTGGCAGCAGGTCTAGCTGTTCAGTTTCACAGAGGCCGGTACCGGCACCACCCTCAATTTTTCAAGCTGGGGTACTAGTAGCTTTTAGGCTCGACAAAATTAAAATTTAGGCTCGTACATTTAGCCTCAGGTGTACTGGTGGTTTAAGAGGCAGATTATGTGGCAGAACAAGCAGATGTTTATGGGACATCATTGTGCATTTTGATGGCAATCGGATGTTGCATATCTGATGAACTGAGAAATAAGTGTTGCTGAAGCTGCTGATGAGATGTTTGGAATTATGGCTGTCTTTTTGTTTGGCTTGGTTTCTGGTTGGATGGGTGCACTGAGTTGAGTTCTGTGGTGCCTGTCCTTGTGGCAGGGGCTCTCCTTATAAACACGTGTGGCAGCCATCTGATAGATGACTGTGCGCTTAAGCAGGCATTGAACTCAGGAGTTGTAGGCGGTGTTGCTTTGGATGGAGTTGACGGACCCCAGTGGTTGGAGGCATGGGTATTTGCTTTTGCCATTCTCCTTGACCTGAAACCTGGACCCTATCGTACCCCTCCATTCCTTTCCCTAGCACTGCTCAACTTTTGCCTTCCGATTAACTTGCCATGGTTACTCTTCCACGTTTCTGTTTGACCTGGCTTTGGATGATGGAGTTGATCAGTGATCTTCTTGCTGGGAAAGGATGGATGGTTTTTTTTTTGTGTGTGTCCGTGTGTGTGTGTGTGTG